GGGAAAGTCTGCATAACTTCGTAAGGGCAGTTATACTGGGGTGGAGGGACTGGAGAAACATGAGAGAGCGCAGGGTAATTTTGATGGGTTGCTTGAGCTGGATAACTTAAAGCAAAACTTTAGGAATGGCCAGAGACTGAGAAGCAGCGGAGGAATTTGTTTAAGTTTTGTTGATAGCACTTGGAGATTAACGTGAACGGATTGTGAAAGGAGTAGATCTTTCCAAGTTAGTGTTCTGAACTCCAGAGGCTGTTGCTAATCGAACACGGCATTTAAAATAGCAGTGAGAGGCTTTGTTTTTACGCAGCTCTGCTGTCTACCTTGGGTTACTTGAATCATGAATGTCAAAAGACAGCAAAAGGTCCTGAACCTTGGGCAGATGGTGGGCCAAGGGGAATCTCCTGTCTGCTGTGGAAAACATTTGTATTTTAATCATTGATGTGCTGCTTTCTTACAGGGCTGAGGGACATTTATAGTGTAGTGAAAGGAGGGGGGTCTATGGAGTGCTGTGGGAAGGCTGTAATGCTTAGTTTCCATAATGGTTCTGTGGTTTGGAGGTCCTGAGGCTTTGGCGTAGAGTAGAGCCAGTTGCCATGCTGAGGACCATAGGCAGAATGAGAGAAGTTAAGAAGAAAGACTGAAACTCTTAAACTGTGCTATTCTGTGGTGCCTGGCTGTCCTGGTTTCAGCTGGGGTAGAGTTAATTTTTTTCCTGATAGCTGCTGTAGTGCTATCAACATTATTTTCATCCCAAACCCAAAACACAGCACTACAGCAGCTATCAGGAAAAAAATTAACTCTACCCCAGCTGAAACCAGGACACTGGCCAAAGGAAAATTGTCTAAGTAACTCCTGTTTCACGAAGCCGAAGGATGAAACATTGCGGCTGGTCTTTGCTAAGGCTCCACATGCATTTTGCATGGAGCTGTGAGGCTGTCCACGCTGTGCAGCTGTCTGGGCCTTTGTGAGCTCAGGGAATCATGGCTTTCTACAGAGGATCTCAACATGCTTGGGATACTGCTTGCTGTATATTAGTCATCCATCTTGAGTTTGGTGGTGGCTTTCCTCCAGACTGGTTCAGGTGTTCGCAACAGCGCAGGCCAGTTCTACCAGAGGTCTTACTGCTGCCACTCATGTCTTTATAGAAAAGACTAAAATCCTTCTTTCGCTGTGCTGAGCTGTCTCTGTGAATGTTTTATCCTTTGTTTGCTCCAACATTTGTCCTTATCTTGCTATTCCTAGAAATGCCAGTCAGATGAACTTGGGCATGTTCCTCCCTCTAAAGATCAAAGTTCTGGACTTTGCACTGAACCTAACAGAAGCAGAAGGGGAAGTCTGTAGTGTCTAATCGCTGTCTGAATTGGCCTTATGCTGTAACAACCACAGGATAAGTCAGCTAAGCAACAGATACTTAGCAGTAAACAGCCCACAGTAAGTAGGGTGAGCACGGAGCATACCGAACAGGTGAGAAAGCATTGGCAGAAACAGCACCCTTTGTTAGAAAGGGCAGAGTATTTCTGTTCCGCTGATGCCAAGGGCTCTTAGTCAAACATCAGGGCTGTGTTGTTCTGGGCTGTCTGTGAGCAAGGCACTTCTAATAGTCTTTTTTTTTTTTCCTTCTTGTTTTCTCTCTTAAAAAAGGTGATGCCACCAGACATCTTACAGACCAGAATCTTCCAAACTGGATTTACTGGCCTTTGAAAGCGGGTGAATTAATGTGGAATGAGATACCAGATCATTTTGTTCAACTACGTCTTGTCTGAGGCCCTCAGGAAAGTTTTGTCAGAGAAATAAGTAGATGATAATAACTTCCTTTATTTATGAATCTACATATATTACAGTAACTATGGCCTCTTCTGTAAAACTTACATCATTACTTCCATTAAAGCTAGTAATTGATGTCTGTAGCTTTGGGGTTTACGTGAGCATAAAATTGAAGAAAACTGGGCTATAGGGCTTTGTCTATCCGTTTAGCATTACCTGACTGTTGATTCAAATTCTGCAAACTCATTTGGAGGCCTGAAGAGCTGAAACAGGACACAACTTGATAGATCAAAAGAGAAATGCCAACAGAATAAACTGTGTATTACACTTTCAATTGTAAAGGGACTATATTTTAAACTGTATTTCACAGCTATAGGTTTTGAAAGCACGATCCTAAATGTTTATGAAATTCTGACTATTTTCACAAACAATTCTGAGGAAAGAATAACAGCGAGTGAAAGACCAGGATATATATGTGTACAGTTTCGTGCAAAGAATTACAAAACAAAGGACAAAATTCACAGTGATCTTCATAGAGGTGTCTTACTTTCTTTGCATCTTGCAGTTTTTAATAGAATATATCCACATTTAAAATTGTGTAACTAGATGAGTTTCTTAAATGTCCTTCTTTTGCAGTTTTAAAGCAAATAGCTTTCTGTATCCTGCTTTAAAAAAAATTTTAAACCTTTGACTTACCATTGTGGAATACTTGGCTTCCAAAGAGCTCCAAGTCTCCAGAAGAACTCTGCAAGTGCTTTATGTGGAATCTGAGAGCAAATATTTTATGGTGCATTTATGTTGAGCAATTCAAGTGTAGTAAAAAAAAGCTTTCTCAACTCAAATGCAGTTATGTTGAAATTTCTGAAGAAATCACTGAAATTTCGCCAGCTGGCAGTGAGAAAATGTTTGATTCTGTAGAGCACTGACCTGGGTAGAAAGTTGAACCTGGAACTTTGTATTCCTTGGAAGCATTATGATTAGAAGAAATGCCTTTCTGATGAAATAGAGGTACTGACAGCTAAGCTGTAGGCAGTATTGTACGGTTAGATGATTGTTAGCTGTGGCAGGGATGGACGC